GCAACCTTAAAAGAATTGCTATTTGTATTATTTGAAATTGTAATGTTTGAATGTCAATAAACAAATTTATTATTATTATTATTATTATTATAAATAAAGATACTTGGAGGGTGATTTATATCATTCTAATATTTTTATATTATTTATAAATAAAGATACTCGGAGAGTGATTTATATCATTCTGATATTTTTATATTATTTATAAATAAAGATACTTGGAGAGTGATTTATATCATTCTGATATTTTTATATTATTTATAAATAAAGATACCTGGAGAGTGATTTATATCATTCTGATATTCTTATATTATTTATAAATAAAGATGCTTAGAGGGTGGCCATTTCTATGTATAGAAATGTTATAATCAATTGCCACAATTGAATAATCAAACATTACCACATCATAAATGAACGTCAATATGTCATTGCCTATGTTCACTTTTGGCGAGTTGCCTGTCGTGCAAGAAGTAAGGAGTCGACCTCCTTCGCTTTACGGATTCATAAACGAATGTCGTTATTGACAGCTCCAGGAAACAGCAGGATAATTAATCACTTATTCACTTTTTGGTACAATGAAGAGCATAGATTTTTCCGACTGCAGCAATGTTCTTATATTATTTATAAATAAAGATACTTGGAGGGTACCCATTTCTATGTACAGGAATGTTATAATCATGTGCCACAATTGAATAATCAAACATTACCACAACATAAATGAACGTCAATATTTCATTGCCTATGTTCACTTTTGGCGAGTTGCCTGTTGTGCAAGAAGTAAGGAGTCCACCTCCTTCGCTTTACGCATTCATAAACGAATGTCGTTATTGACAGCTCCAGAAAAGAGCAGGATGATGACTTATTCACTTTTTGGTGCAATAAAGAGCATAGATTTGTCCGACTGTGGCAAATCCCTCATTGAAGATGGCCTAAGTTTGCTTTACAGTATATTAGGTGTTTGTTTGTTCTTTATGGGACACTTTTGAAAACAACCTTGCGGCTTATTAACAATAATAATTGACTAAGTGTCCCTTGATCTTATTGAATTACAATTTTGGTATTTGGTGTTTCTTAAGAGTGATATTTGAGTTTTGATTTTTTTCAAATTTATAATAAGTTTATGATAGTTGATATAGGAGAAGACAAATGCCTATTATATTTATATGTATAATGTTTTTATATTATTTATAAATAAAGATGCTTAAAGGGTGACATATGCCATAATAATGTTTTTATATTATTTATAAATAAAGATGCTTAAAGGGTGACATATGCCATAATAATGTTTTTATATTATTTATAAATAAAGATGCTTAAAGGGTGACTTATGTCATTATATTGTTTTGCCCATTTCTATGTACAGAAATGTTATAATCATGTGCTACAATCTACTATAGCATCTTGGCCATCGAGTAACCAAACATTACCGTATCATAAATGAACGTCAATGTCATTGCCTATGTTCACTTTTGGCGAGTTGCCTGTTGTGCAAGAAGTGAGGAGTCGACCTCCTTCGCTTTACGCATTCATAAACGAATGCCGTTATTGACAGCTCCAGAAAACAGCAGGATGATTACATATTCATTTTTTGGTGAAATAAAGAGCATAGATTTTTTCGACTGTGGCAAGTCCCTGATCGAAGACGACCAAAGTTTGGATTAGTTTACAATTATTGTGTATAAGGCCCCAAAGTTTCTCAAACCTACAGCAAGAAGTAAGGAGCCTCCTTGGATAAATAATGGGAAAATCGTAGGCCTCAAGCCTTTCCAAGGTAAGTTATTGTACGACAGGTCGGCGATTAGACCTCGTGCATGTATTACACATAATAAAAGGGTAAATTGTATATTGATTCTGGAGCTATGCTCCAGCGATATTGTTACAGCGATCCTAACACTATCCACGGAGGAGGGTGGAGAAAGCTGGATAGCATGCCGCCTATTTTCCTGGAGAGAACGAATATGTCCTCCGGAGATACAAAAGGATGTTACATTTTACTGCGAGGAACAGAAGCTCCAAATTATAATAGGACGCGACGCTAACGCATATCATACAATGTGAGGCACCACAAACATCAATGCTAGAAGTTTGCTGACAGAGCACTACCGACTAAATAGACATTAAAGTCTGATGGGAGTGGAAGAAAACACAGATTGTAGGTTTTGTCAAGAGGAGGAGGGAACGGCAACTCACGGTTTTGTGCCATTGGGAAGGCCTGTTGAGAGTGCGCTTCCGATGTCTTGGCTCAACTAAACCAGAAGCAGCCAGCTACACTAGGGAGTTTGTGGAGTCCAATCAGAAAGATAATACTGGACGAGGCTCTATAACATGGAATGAGTCACAACACATAAACCACTCGGTCTATGCGTTGTGACGATATATTATAGTATTTTAGCTATATTCTCAAGCCTACAGGAAGAAGTAAGGAGTCGTTCTCATTCGCTTTACGCATTCATAAACGAATGCCAGTATTGACAACGATAATTACTTATTCACTTTTTGGTGCAATGGAGAGCATAGATTTTTCCGACTGTGGCAACTCCCTGATGCTCAAAGGGTGACTTATGTCAATATAATGTTTTTATATTATTTATAAATAAAGATACTTGGAGAGTGATTTATATCATTCTGATATTCTTATATTATTTATAAATAAAGATGCTTGAAGGGTGACATGTCATTATAATGTTTTTATATTATTTATAAATAAATATGCTTAGAGGGTGAATTATATCATTGTAATATTCTTATATTATTTAAAAATATTATTTTGCCCATTTCTATGTACAGAAATGTTATAATCATGTGCTACAATCTACTATAGCATCTTAGCGGTAACCAAATATTACCACATCATAAATGAACAAGTCAATATGTGTGAAGGCGTGTCGAAAGTGCGCTTCCGATGTCTTGGCTCAACCAAACCAGAAGCAGCAAGCTACACTAGGGAGCCTTTGTCGAGGTTGTGGAGTCTAATCAGAGAGATAAAATTGGACGAGGCTCTATAACATGGAGTGAGTCACAATAGATCCGCAGGGTCGCAGTGACGACCAGGCGGAAAGCAAACTCTTCCAATATTGCTAATCTAATCCACACAAAGTGATGATGTCATTCATTCATTACTTGGCAATACAAACTTATACCAGCTTGGATTTGACAGCCCTCAGCCCCGTATGACCGATAGGCCTATTTGTTATTGTTGCCTTCATTAGCGTGAGACTTAGAAATGTGGCGTTTCTGTTGTCAATGGCAAAACCCTTTGTTAGAAAAGTAGTTTCAACACAAGTACAGCCAAAATGGGCGGTCTTGGAATTTAATGATGTACAGGATGTTATATTTACAAGTAATCCCAAATGGTAAATCCCAAACCACAGAAAATCGAAATCGGCATGTGGCAACCCTGTCTTTAGGGCTAGTATAAAGACAAACTAATGTTGGATAGCAGCAGCATTAAAAGTGTTTGGTAGGCGTATCACCAGAAATAGAAAGAAAAACACCAAGACACATAACCAAAGGTGCGGCAAGGACTGCCTAAGCGGCTTTTACACTGCGGTGAGGAAGGCAACGGAAAACCACCTCACTAAAATTCCTAGCAGATCAATCAAACAAACCTTAAAAATGTCTCTCAGTCCACGACAGGCCTTAGATAGACAGAAAATGCTAAGAGTCCCCGGGTTAGCCATGAAAGAAGGCACATGGAATGTCAGAAGCCTATTTGCACCAGGGAGACTGAATAACCTGGTCTTAGAGATGGAAAGGCTGCAAATCAATATACTTGGAGTAAGTGATGTTCAGTGGACAGGTTCGTGGACTCTTAAAGCAGCCGAAATTAACAAACCAGTCGCATTCGAAAGATGGTGCTATCGTCGCATGTTACGAATTTCTTATTTTGACAAAATCACAAATGTCGTGGTGCTACGCCGTATGAACAAAGAAGAAGAAATATATAAGATACTGAAGAAAAAGAAACTGGAATACTTTGCACATGTTGTAAGCGGTCCTAAATACCATAAGGAGGGAAAAATTCAAGGAAAACGTAGTCAGGATAGAAGAAGAACCTCCTGGTTAAAAAACCATAGAGAATGATTTGCAATGACATCAAATCAATTATTTAGAGCAGCCGCAAATAGGGTTGTATAGCTGTGATGATAGTCAATCTCCGTTAGTAGATTGAAGAAGCAAGAAGAAGAAGTAGAAATTAGTTTCACTTCTTCTCAATCATGGCTATTATATCATCAGTACGATTTTAGTATTTGCAAACGATCTGATATGTCAAAATTTAATAGAACAACTTCAGGCACTTCTTTGTAATGATTCTGAATCTCATTGCCATTTTTATGTAAATATGACGTTTTTACAAAATAGAGAGGAATATTTGCCAAGCTTTCAGGCTTTTGGGAAGGACGTGTTGTTGTTTCTGTTGTAGCACACCCATAAAGAATGTTTTTAGTTGTTCATTTGCCAAAACACAATGTTCATCAAAGAATATGTAAGTGGTTAAATTGATTATAAAATTATATGATATTGACGGCTATTTGCACCGCTACGCTACAACTTACGGGATATTTAATTCCAGTGGAACTTTAAATGTGACTCTTGTGGAAACAAAAGTCACATTCAAAGCTCGACTTGGATTAAATATCCTTTAAGTGATAGCTCTGCAAATAGCAATGAGTAGCGAAAACCATCCCTAATCTTGAAAAAATTACACTCTTGCCAAACTGCAAAAACTTTTCAATTTCTATTTGTATTTCAGTATTGACTTGACTTGGTAATTTCCTAGCGAGTGGGTTACATCATAAATTTGTAGTTAAGCCTCTTGGTAATTTTTTTTTTCTCAGAGAGTCTAAAATTTGATAATGCAACGTATTTGAAAAAATATACTTCAACAAACATCTACTAACAAGAATATTGACAATTGGAAATAGAAATTAAAAGCCTGTCTGGCATTATCCTAAACCCTTTCCCATAACACCCCTTTTTACCAGCTCCTACTTTCTATGGCGTCAAATTCGCTGCGGTTGTGGTATACGGGACTTAAACCGTTTGTCTTTGGCGGTGACTCCAGAGCTGCTTTCAATTCTCTTATTGCATATGTGTTGTGATGTAGATTCAACTTGGCTAACTGCAATGGATGCGATGTCCGGGAAATGTTGCTGGTGGTCCAAATTTACCTTTGTGGTAATTCCTTCGGGCATGCGCAGCTTTGGTGCCAGGGTGGCTAGAGGACCACTGGAAATAGCGTAAGTAAGTGAGCACAGAGTCGGGGTGTCATTGGGGAGAGCGCCGGTATTGCCGCAGGTGTAATAGACTTTGCATGAAAATTTGAAATATTTTAATTTTGACGATTATTTTCGTTACAATGAGGAATCTGAAAGATAATTGAAATTTGGCACTGTGTGCTATGTAGTATTTCACCAGTCGACAAGGTTCTACACGATTGTGTACCTGAATTTTATTGGATAATCAAAGTAGTTGGTTGAGGTTGAAATTGAAAAATATTTTAACTTTTATCAATACCAACACCTATTGTGAAGGCTTATACCATGAACTACATTTATTGTTTATGATCAATACATATATTTGAGAATTCCCGTTTCCCCTATGTTATTCTAGCACTATCTGTTAGTTAACCGACAGATCATTATTTAGAATACTACAGGGTGTTCCGAAATTAATGCACCAAATTTTTATGGCATATTCTACGTCGAAAATAAGCCCTAGTTTGTGTCGATTACTTGGTACCTATTGATTTTACAAAAAAATTATTCAAATAAAAGATGTGTAAAATTATTTGATCTACAATATTTATCTAAAGACTTTTTTGATTAAGGACTGTCTGTGGTCATAAGGGCCGTTTGAAATTTATAATGAAAATAAAAAAATTTATCCAACGTGAAAAAATTTTCTACATCTCATACAACGTTTTTGCTCTACGAAGTTGTTACTCAGCCCCTGCCGTTTTTCAATAAGGGTAGTTAAAAAAAAAACATTTATTTACAAAAAATGTTTCGTAATAAAAGTTTTATAAGATTACATTTCCTACAATTTTTCCTTATCAACTTTTTTTGTAACTCACCCCCATTCAGCGGGGGGACACTTCCCTTAGGTTGAAAATTTGTATTTTCCTTATAAATTTCAAACGGCCCTTATGACCACAGACGACCCTTAATCGAAAAATTCTTCAGATAAACATTGTAGATCAAATAATGTTGCACATCTTTTATTTGAAACATTTTTTTGTAAAATCAATAGGTACCAAGTAATCGCCAATGGCGCACTTTCAACCCCTATAGTGCAAAACGCCAGAGGGGTGAATGTGTGATATCTTCGGTTTTATGATCACCCACCCGTCTCCTATCATCCCTGAAAAGTTTATTTGGGTAGGAATTTTTTTTTGCAATGCATGTATTTTTCGACAATTTTCCCAGACTATATGTCCGAAAACGCTTCCTCCAGGGTGTTGAAATTCTAAGAAAAAAACTATTTTTTTATCATAATTTTCAAACCAAATATTTCATTGAAATTTTGTACACTGCTTTCAAGCAGCAAAAGATATTTAAAATATTTAAAAAAAAAAAAAAATTACCAGTGACGACTTCGCAAAAATAATAATTTGAGACTTTAGGTGTTTAATGTTTCACATCTTCATCATAATTTTGGCGATTTCGCTATGCATCAAAATGGTTTTTTATTTTTTTACTTGAAAGCGGTGCATCGTTCCGAAAAAAGTGAAGAGATCAAATTTGTTTCAAATTGAATGGAGATTTCGGAAATAATTTTTATTTTAGGAAAAAGCAGTAGCGCACCGGCACACCATTTTTTTTCTTGAAAAATATCCCATACAAATCTGGTATGAACGTCACTGGTAATTTTTTTTTTCTAAATATTTAACATCAAAAAATGTGTTTTGCTGAGCTTGAGTGGTTTGAAAATTATGATGAAAAATAGTTTCTTTTTCTTAGAATTTCAACACCCTGTATCTCAGAAACGAAGCGGTTTAAAAATTTTGGTGTATTAATTTCGGAACACCAGAATAGTTCCACGCATATTTGTTTATTAGTATTCTTAACAACATTTTCTTTAAATAATTATTATGCAAAAAATAAGAAATTTAATTTAAAAATAAAGAAAACCGAAAATCTACCAAGAAAATATAGACCAAATCATATGATAAAAAAAACTGGAATTTTGAAAAAAACTGTAAGTCAAAAACTAAACGAAGCAAGACCAATGTCAAAAGTAATTTCTTGAAATATTTGAAAAAATTTGAATGATTAGAAACACTACCAACTCAATTTAATTTACATATAAAAACGCAAACATACACATCAAAAACAGAATTTATTTTATTACCAGTCCTTAAAACATGCAAGTGCTCAAAAACAAATTAATGTATACCTATTACAAAACTTGTGAATGGCTGAAAATGTATCACAAACCACCAGCAGTGGAAAATTAATTGAGTGTTAAAGCTAGCCAGACCTAGAAATTTATTTCCAAGAACAAATGTCTATAGTCTAACTGCGTTTAAATCCCAATAATAATTATCCATCCAAACCTTGCACACAAGGATAATCCAATATACATATTCCTCTTTAATTATTATGTGGCAACACCGGCACTCACCTCAAACAAAACTGATTTCTAACTACTAGGACCAGCCATTAGGATAATCCTTTTTACATGATGTCCTACCAGATTCTATGCAGATGTAAGTTCCGCCCCAGCACTGATCTTACGTCGGCTGTGAAACGTAGAGCGTCCAACATAGGAAGTAGGTTTAGTAGAGCCACATCGGTGGGGTCTGAGAACCAGGACTTGATTGGCACAGCATTATCTGAAATATAAAATAGATATTTATTTACGTTTATTTATTAAAAGGGAGCAAATATTTCTTTTCTGGCTTAAAAAATGTTTGATGTCTCCCTAGTGAAAAAAAAAAATGGGGAAATATAGAGTACCTGCAAGTGCCATCTAGTAGGTTGGCAGTGTAAAGGTGTGCTCATTCACCATAATGTACAGATCTTAAGATATACTCATTTACCATTTATTACCCTATTTTAATTTAGACAATTTATTATTCTTAAGTTGGCAACATTGTATTTAGTTTCTAGAATACCTAAATAAGCTGATATAGAGGTGTGAAATGCCTCTCAGATATACAATAAAACTTGTACAGTAAACTAGCAACCAAGAAAGTGAGTTTTATTCTGAAAAGCCATAAGGGCAGTAATAAAATACGAAGTTACAATAAATTTATAGGCAGGAAACATAAATAATCTGATATGTAGAAGGTAATAAAAATGAACCCATATTTCGACCAGACCTGGCCTTGACCGACCCGATCAGTTGAAGATCATTGGGCAATGAAATCGGAATTATACAGGTTGTCCGGAATAACTTGAAGTAAATGGGGATTTTGGAAACCATTGTAAATATAGGGGGGACCAAATGAGGAAAAGGTTACGCAATAGAGTGCCTACAAATAATAAGTCATCAACTTATTTGAACTTCTTGATTGTATCTTTTATAATAACCAAGATATAAAGGATTTTATAAAACGCAATTTTTCTTTTTTGCCCTTTATATCGGTTGCTAATCCGAGTTCAAAAAGTTTTTTGTTTGTAGGCACTTTATTGCGCAGTTTTTTCCCCATTTAGTCCACCCTGTATCTGCAATGTCATCCAAAATCCCCATGTAGGTACTTCAAGTTATTCCAGGCACCCAGTATAAGTAATGGTTGTAAACATGATTCAATACATAGGCTACAAAGCGACGGAAGCAAAAATCATACAATAACTTATCAACATATATTTGTAGTCATAATCATTCTTAATCAAAAATATAAGCATCACCATAAACAAGTCACATTATGATCTAATTTCACTCATAACCTGTATAATCAATTATTCCCAAATTTCATCAAACAAAATTCTGTATTATTCATAGCGAGAGTTTCAAGCCTGGTACGAAAATATAATAGTTCCAAGTTCTAAGACTTCATACAAAATTTTTGAAATAATTTTAAAAAAAGTTGATTATTTAAGAAATATAAGATTTTTCCCATGAGCATCGAATCAACTTTCTTTGATTAAAGTTTCTACTGATTAATGTGAGTAATTACTTATACAGTGAGTTTTGTTCATTTCTCAATTATTTTCAACCAATAAAAATATTGGAGGTTGTAAAACAACTTATTGGCAAGACAACTTTGACTCGGGAGGTGAAAGATATAATTATGGAAGAAATCCAGAATGCAACCCAGGAATCTGGGAGATCCGTAGATGAATTTAATTATGAACAAACCCAACATGAAAATAATCCAATGGAACATTAGGAAAGTTTTACGAAACTTCAGCGATTTGACTATCTTAATAAATAACGAAAACCCGGATGTTTTATTGATTAATGAGACATGGCTCAAGGTAGACAATGCTTTAAAGGTAAAATACTATGTAACACACAGATTGGATAGAGATGATAGAAAAGGAAGTATTGCAATCTTCATAACAATCGTATCGCAGCACCTGGGAACAAGCTGTAACTGGTATGTTTCCGACCAGGGTCCTTATTCTTGAAACAGGGGAGCAGCGTTTCCAGGAGAATGAGTGTTCCGTCTTTGTTACTTATATTATCATTTGCATATCATTGAGAAAGACGGAACACTTGTTCTTCTGGGAACGCTGCTCCCCTGTTCAAGAATAATGACCCAGAGTGGTTTCAGTGACCATCTCCCGACTGTATGCTGCATTAGAAAACAACTGATAGATCAAAAACAGGAAAGGAAGCCATTAGGAAAACCCAAGAAAGACCCCGAAGAGTTTAAAGCATACAGACCAATAGCTTTGACATTGTGCCTTGGTAAATTAATGGAAAGCATGGTTGAGACACGTTTAGAACCTTTCTTGGAGAAAAAAAAATATTCCAAAATGGGTTTAGAAAGGCAAAAGGGACCATAGACAACCTGGTCATTTTGGCTAATTCAATTAACACAGCATTTACCAATAATGAAGTGATAGTTTGTGCCTTCATAGACATTCGGGCTGCTTATGATAACGTATCATTGGAAATTCTTAGAGAGAAGTTGAAAGAAGCTGGGCTCTTATTACAGAAGTTGTCGGACCATGAAAAAATATATACAAATGCATCTTTGGAGCCAACATCAACACATTGCGGAATTGGAATATATAACAACACAAGGAAAATCTCAATAATAGGGAAATGCCAAGATCTAACCAACATTTGTTCAGAGGAGGTGCTAGCCATCTATACGGCCTTCAATACCTTAGACATTGACACAGGAAAAACTGTTTTAATATCAGATTCTAAAAGTGCTATTTTGAAAATTGTCAGAGATGGCATCAACAGAGGGACCGATAGAATCACTTTGACAACGAGGAAGAAAATATTAGATATGTAGGATGGAGGAAAGGAAATCAAAATACTGTGGGGCCTAGTCATACAGGCATAACAGGAGATGAAAAGGCAGATAGACTTGCTGGAAGAGACCGAGAGGCAAATAATGCTATCAACAGAATAATACACTATGATGATCTATTCAGAGTAGCTAAGGAAGAGACATGGAGGCAATGGGCTGTGGAATTTACAATAAAGGTAGAAATCATTCAAGCCAATACTACAGATTAACGAAGAAACCTCAAAGAACATCGTGGTTTGCCAAAATTGAGAGGGGCTAGTGCAATTTGCAGAATCAGAACTACAAATTACCTCATACCTAAACACAAAAACAAACTTGGCATGCAGGACAGCGAGAATTGTGAATGTGGTGAAGTGGGTGATATCAATCATGTGCTCTTGAACTGTGAGCTGAACAGAGGTCCGACAGATTGGTTGTATTCAAGACTGAATAAGATGGTAGGAGGACCGATACAAATGGAAGAAATTCTTGCAAATTCAACCAGCAGGGAAGCAGAGATGGTTATGGATTGGATCAAGAAGTTTGATATAAGAATATGAAAATAAGCAGTAGTTCATGGTCACAGTTACATTGTAGAGTGGTGCTAAACTCTGTCTAACGAATGTTGAACGTTGAAGGTCACTTACTCGAATAAATCACAGGCGTGGCTTTTTGCTGCTGTTTTTATTGCACGCGCTTTTATCAAGTTTATCAAGCCTTGATAAACACAGTGCGCGTGCAGCAAAAAAGCAACGTCTATGATTTATTCGAGTAGGTGACCTTCAACGTTCAACATTCGTTAGACAGAGTTTATTTGGTGTGCTGCATGATTTATAATGCTATCAAGTGCTAATGCTTATAAAATGTGATTGTTTTTTATATATTCATTTTTTAGGTATCCTATTCACTCCTATTTCCCCGACGTTTCCAAGTTCCTTGCTGTACACGCCACAGCAAAAAATTACCTACTCATCCCCAAATGAAACTTTAACTTTTGGCAAGTGGGGTAACCCCAACCCGATGCACTAGAGAACACAAGTGATAGGATTCTGGCTGACTGCTGACTGTTGTTTGACGACATATGGGGCATTGGTAAACAGGAAGAAGAAGACAAGATCGGAGCTAACCTAACCTCACTTTTTTCTCCAGCCGTCCAAATAATTTTGTAATGAAAATGAAATAAAATATTGCATGAATCTATTATTTAATTCAATGATCATGGAAAAAATATAGTATTCTACTCGCGGGTATCACATACAAAAACCTATTTCAAAAACCCACCATCAATATAGACAAGAACCCAGTGAGCTCTGGGTTTTTCGTGTCAAAAGCCCACGCATATAGAAATAATTATTAACTGCCTTAATTTGGAAAAAAAAAAATTAAGAAATTTTTATTAAAAAAACAAATTCATTCCTGCCATAGCGACAAATAATATCTATTGAAATCTAGGAATATTCACATTTTTGGTATCTATATTATAGAGCAGGCGCTACACGTAGTTAAGTATGCAAAATGTGAGGACCGGCAAAAATGCTCAAATTCGTATTCCTGTGATCCTCAAGAATGGGAAAGTATATCTTGCCGGCAGCTGGAGTGGTCCCTAACTCTCCTGCCATCCCCCAATGCAAAGTTATATTGAAAATATCACAATTTCAAGTCATTTCACAATAATCCCTATTGATCGTACCTAAGGCTTCCTTTTCAAGCACTCAGAATAAATTACCTACCACTTGTTGGATATCTTTGCAATTCTGCTCCAAAATATACACAAGTAAAAGAAGACTGCGAGATGTACAGGGTCATCCAACGACGACTGAACAGAGGCTTATTTTTGACCTTCCCTGTTCCTGTAGTATTGAAAAAATTCAAAATAGCCAATTGGCATATTTTTTTTCTGGAGAATACAAAAATGGTACCAAAAAATCATTTGAACTAAACACCAAAGAGTTACGCCACGGATGAACTGTTTTTCAAATGGAACACCCTGTTTTACAGTAGTTAATTTCTGGAAAAGTCACATTTTTAACGTCTATTCCTTTAAAAATATCTGATATTCCGATAGCTATTTTCATTTTATTTTGATGTTTTATCCCTAATAGTTTTGGCGTCACCTGTTCAATACATCTGTGATGGCGACAAAATATGTCAAATTTCTTTAGACTTTGAACAAAAGGTGATTATACCTCTATCACCTATGAACCTATTGAATTGAAAAGGAAAAGTTAAAATTGTTAAGCATAAAACATTAAAATAAAATAAAAAACAGCGAAATATCAAATATTTTCAACAGAATAGATGTAAAAAATGCGAGTTTTCCAAAAATCATACAAAAACAGGGTGTTTCATTTGAAAACCTAGTTCACCCAGTGCGTAACTCTTTGGTTTTTGGTTCAAATGATATTTGTACCATTTTTGAA